TTCCCCTCTCTGAAATCAAGAAAGATATATTATAAAAAAATAAATGACGTTTGTTGTAATTTACCCAGAATTTCTAGATGTTTTGTTACAAGAGAGATTTTCAAATATTTTGTCAAACATTAAAAGAAACAAAAGTTTTAGAGATTCGATTTGACTTAAAAATCTTTACTAACAAACATTATTCTGAGTTCCAGGGGTTACCAAGATAATAAGACTTCAAGAAACTTATAATGTAGTTGGGCAGACAGATAAGTAAACAATGAACAGTACTAAATAAGATAATCACCAAATGTTGATATAAGAAAGAAGCTGTGGCAAGGTAGGTAGAAAAAAGATGTTTTTATTTCATAGGACTTACACTGTTACGTACTTTTTATAGGTCTGTCATTTGTGTTTCTAAAAGTATTGGTATCCTATCTACCAGACCTGATTTTAGGTAAGGACTGTTTTGTGGGGGTTTTTTGTTTTTGTTTTTGCTTCTTTACATTTCCCTAAAGTGCCTGGATTAAAAACAGAACAAACTGGGGATTTTTGCTTCTGGGAAGATGAAACAGGCATACTTTTCCCTATTCTTCCCACTAAGTACAATTTAAAAGCTCTGAACATTATATATAAACAAACATAAGGAGACCTTGAAAGATTAAGAGAAGAAAGCAGACTGGTTAGGGACTCTGGACCTTAGTAATGCTACAGTAATAAGTTCCATGTGTTTTCTTTTTGCCTCATTTTTCCAGACTTAGATCTGCAAAACCTAGGAACCCAGAACTGCCTCTAAGCACAGACAAAGAAAAATAGCCCAACTAAAAAGCCTGTTCTCTCTAGCCAAAGGACCAGGAAAGAGGCAGCCCAGCAAGAAATAAAAATTACATATTCGATAGCCAAACACCACAGAAAAAACGATGGTCGCACCCCCTCATCCATGCTGCAAAGTCTGATTGGGAGCCTAGACTTCCCTCCTCATCAGACTGTAAGAAAGTACCTCAAGCTCCTTCCAGGCTAAGGGCAAGTAGGGAGGGGCTGGGACTTTCACCCCCATCCAACAGTAATGAGCTCCCTACTCCCTGCAATGTTAGTGGAGACCACATGGGAAGCCTGGACTTCCATCCTCATGTGACAACAAAGTGTTCTTCTCTCTCCCTACCGTGGTGTGTCAGAGTAGTATGTCAGAGGAGACGTATTGGAGAGTCAGAACTTTCACCACTGGCCAGAGATAAGGTCATATCACTGAGGTGTCAGTGGAGGTCACATGGTGAGAAATAATTAGGCACTTCTGCCCCTCTCAACCAGGGTGGAATCAGGAAGGCCTAGTAAAAAAAATGAGAATTCTACCCCAGCCCGGCAGTAATGAGGAGCTCTTTTCTCCACTGTGTGCCAAAAGAGGCCTAGGAGGAACCTAAACACCAACTACTATTTGCCAGTAATAAGGTGGCACTCAGGGACCTGTGGGACTAAAAATCTAACATTCATGTTATTGGTGTCCTGGAAGAAGAGGAGAAAGAGGATGGGGCTGAAAAAGTACTTGATGATATAACGGCAGAAAACTTTCAAATCTGTACCCCCACCTCCAAAAAAAAAAAACTATTAAAGAACTATAAACCCACTGATTCAAGAAGCTGAGCCAACCTCAAACAAGTTAAACTCAAAGAAATCCACATCAAGACACATCACAGTCAAACTTCTGAAAACTAAAGACAAGGGAAAAATCTTGAAAGCAGTGAGAGAGAAAAAACACCTTACCTATACTATAGGGGAAAAACAATCTGAATGACAGGATTTCTTGTCAGAGAACTTGGGAGGCCAGAATGAAGTGGCACACCATTTTTCAAGCTCTGAAAAAAAGGAACTGTTAACCTAGAATACTGTATCCAGTGAAAATATCCTTTAGGAATAAAACAGAAACCAAGACAGTGTCAGATGAAGGAAAGCTAAGAGATTATGTCACCAACATATATACCCTAAAAGGATGGCTAAGGAAGTTTTCTAAACAGAAAGTAAATGAGAGAAAGAATTTTAGAATATTAAGAAAGAAGACAAATGAGAAGAGTAAAAATGTGGGTAAATATAATGCATTTTCCTTCTCCTTTGGAGTTTTAATATTGTTTTATGGTTGGGGCAAAAATCATAATACTGTCTGAAGTTATAGATGCATGTAGAGAAAATATTTAATATATTTTAAATGGGACAGGGAAAAGGCACTGTTATGGGTTGAATTGTTTCCCCTCAAAAAAGATATGTTGAAGTCCTAACACCAGTACCTCAGAATGTGACCTTACTTGGAAATAGAATCAATACAGATATAATTAGGATGAAGTTGTGCTGGAGTACAGTAGGCTCTTTATCCAATATGACTGATGTCCTTATAAAGACATGTGAAGACACAGAGACACAAAGAGAATACATGCCATGACAAAGGCAGAGACTGGAATCATGCAAGTAAAAGGCAAGGAATGCCAAAGATTGCCAGCAAACCATCAAAAGCTAGGAAGAGGTAAAGATGGATTCCCATACAGGTTTCAGAGGAAGCATAGCCCTACTGACAGCTTGATTTTTGACTACTAGCCTCCATGACTATATGATTTGTAGAGGAATTATACAGCTACAGCAAATAAGAGAGTGTGGCATTGGTGAAGAGATACACATAGATTAATGCAACAGAATTAAAAAACCCATAAATAGATCCACACAAATGTACCCAAATAAATTGTAAGAAAGGTGTAAAAGCAATTCAGTAGATAAAGATAGCCTTTTCAACCAATGATCCTGGAGCAGTTGGGCATCCATAGGCAAAAAACGGACCTCAACCTAAGCCTCATATCTTAAACAAAAACTAACCCAAAATAAATAATGAACTTAAATGTGAAATGCAAAACTATACAAAACTTTTAGAAAAAAACATAGGAGAAAATCTAGGATTTGGCAAAAGCATGACCCATAAAAAAAATTGTTAAGCTGAACTTCATCAACATTTAAAACTTTTGCCCGACCGGGCGTGGCTCAGCGGTTGAGCGTCGACCTAGGATCCAGGCAATTGGGGTTCGATTCCTGGTCAGGGCACATGCCCGGGTTGCAGGCTTGGGCCGATCAATGACTCTCTCATCATTGATGTTTCTATCTCTCTCTCTCCCTCTCCTTTCCTCTCTCTGAAATCAATAAAGATATATTTAAAAAAAAAAAAAAAATTAAAAACTTTTGTTCTGTGAATGACCCTGTGAAGTGGATGAAAACACAAGGTACAGACTGGAAGAAAATATTTGTGAGCCACAGTTGGTTTTTTTTAAATCCTCACCTGAGAATATGTTTGTATTGATTTTTTTTTTTTAAGAGAGAGGAAGGCGGAGAGAGAGAGGGAGAGGAAGAGAGGGAGAGAGAAACTGATCGGTTGCCTCCTGTACGTTCCCTGACTGGGAATCAAGCCCCAAATCTGGGTATGTGCTCTGACCAGGGACTCAACTCACAACCTTTTTTGGTGCACAGGAAGACATTCCAAACGAGTGACCCGGCCAGGGCGTGAGCCACATATTTGACGAAGAATTAGTATCTAGAATATATAAAGAAAGCTCAAAACTGAACTGGAAAAAAAGGAGAAACAATCCCATTAAAAAATGGGTAAAGACTCGAACAGACATTTCACCAAAGAGGATATACAGATAGCAAATAAGCACATGGAAATGTATTCGATATAATTAGATATTAAGGAAATGAGAATTAAAACCACAATGAGATATCAGTACATACACCTATGAATAGCTGAAATAAAAAACAGTGACAACGCCAAATGTTTGCAAGGATGCAGAGAAACTGGGTCACTCATACACAACTAGTGGGAATGTAAAATGGTAGAGCCACTCTGGAAAACAGTTTGGCAGTTTTAGGAAAAACTAAACATAAAACTACAATATAACCTAACAACTCCAGTCTGGGCATTTATTCCAGAGAAATAAAAACTTATATTCACATAAAATCATGTAAACAAATATTCATAGCAGCTTTATTCATTATAGTAAAAAACTGGAAACAATCCAGGTGTCATTAAACAGGTGAATGGTTAAACTGTGGGATATCCCTATCGTGGAATACTGCTCAACAACAGAAAGGAATAAACTACTGACACACTCAACAACTTATATTAATCTCCAGTGAATTATGCTAAGTGCAAAAGGCCAATCCCAAAGGTTTCATACATTATATGATTCAATTTATATAACAAATATTCTTTGAATAAAAAAATTATAGAAATGAAGAACAGATTAGTGGTTGCCAGGGGTTAAGAATAGGGGGTAAAGGCACCAGTGGGAAGGAAGTAGATGTGACTATAAAAGGTCAACATAGGGAGTGGTAACAGAACTGTTCTGTATCTTGACTCTATCAATGTCAAATCCTGGTTGTAATATTGTACTATAGTTTTGAAAAACGTTACCATTGCAGGAAATTGATAAAGGGTACCAATTTCTTACAAATGCATGTACTTCTACAATTACCTCAAAATAAAATCTTAATTAAAAGAATAAAACTAAGTCATACTATTTACTTATTGAGTCCCTACTGTATGGCCAGGCCCTATGTAAGGTACTCATATGAATATTTCTTATTTAATCTTCATAAACTCTATAAAGATTATAACTTTTCCTAAATATTTCTGGAACACTTGATTTTTGTATGACATTAATAGCTTTCCTTAAAAGGTGTTTGAGAAACAAAAATTTTTTTTACTCTAGAATTTTTAAAAGCCTTTAATATACTTGTACATTATAAACAAAAAGAGGCCATAAGACATAGTTTTGCTCAAATTTCTTTAATTCTGGACCTCTTGTTTTCACATGATGCTAATGACTTGCTTAAAGAACTAGTATTCCTTGTGATTATACCATAATAAATGTTGGGTTATAGTTTTCAATGAACATCCCTGCTGGAATTGGGTTTTATGTGTTATTTCAATTTAGGCTATAGATTTACCATCTGAATGTACTCTAATCATAGTGTTCATGATCCAAACTACTTACCATGTAACAATATAAATAGATCGAAGTACTAATGTGAAGACCAACATTCCATACATGACCTAAATAAGAAAAGAAAAAATGATGTTAGTAAAATCATTATTTTTTGGCAAAGGAAGGACATTTTGCCTACAAAAATAGCCCTCTCAATTCAATGTAAACGTTTATTATCCTTCATCACATTTTTAAAAATTTTTCAAAATATGTAATTATATAATTAAGAGTCACGCTAACCCTTGAGGAAAAATTCAGAGCCTTCTTGTAAATAACCAGTTATCAGAAATCCTATGTCAATTTTAGTTCTGTGGTTATGTGAAATTTTAAGTATCTGCTGAAACCTGAACAAATGCTGAAATTTTGCCTCACACTCCCTAGATCCTTCCCTTTTCTTTAACTTCACTTTCAGCAACTTATTCTACTTTCCATTTTATAACAGTATAACTATGAACTCCTCTTTTAAACTCTCCTAAATGTTTCCGTATTCATATATGGGTCCTCTCACTGCATTCTTTCTCTCATTCCTAGTCTCCAAAGAAAGTGGTGCCCATTTCTTCTTGACTGAATTTAATCTAATTTGGGTTCTTTATTTTACAAATGTGCTTCCACATCTTCCTAGACTTGGCTCCATCAACTAACCTCTTTTTTTCCTATATGGGGCCCTGTGTAAGTACTACTAGCTAGAAAATTGAACCTAGTGGAAAAATTGAACTTTTAAAAGTGTGAATTATTAAATACAAAAAATTGCATAGGACATAAATGAATACTTAACTAATACTTACAAAGTCAACAGCTGGGAGAGTACCATTCATGGCAAGAAATGGATCCGGGTTAATACCTAGAAGTGCTGCATGTATCTCTTCCCAGTGCAACCCTCTCCCCTCCTCCTTAGAGGAAACCATTTTCCTGACTTTTATAATAAACATTTTCTTGCTTTTCTCTACATATTTACTAACTTAAACTTGTCTCCTAAATATGTAATCCTAAATATTTGGTTTTTGAATTTTAATAGAATTTGAATTTACAATAGAATAATATTGCATACATTTGTTTTTGTGTTGTCTTTTCAAATTCAGTTATGTTGCGTATGTAGCCTTAGTTCATTCATTTTTTTATGTTATATACTATTTAATTGGATAAAAATGCCACAATTTACCCATTCTTGTGCTGATGAACATCTTCAGGTTATTTCCAATTTCACTGCTATGAACATTCTTCTTCACATATCCTAGTGCACATTTACACAAATTTACCTAGGGTATGTACTTAGGAATGCAATTGCTGGGTCAGAGGATATACATATTATCAAAATTACTAAAAAATGCTAAAATGTTTTCAAAAGTGGTTATACCAATTTTGACTCCAACCAATGTGTATGAGTGTTTCTTTTGTGCCACATAATCACCAACACATAGCAGTCAGGCTTCTAAGTTTCTGTTAATCTATGTGGTTTTTAATATGTATTTCCCTGATTATGGTTGAACATTGTATGTTATGTTTACTGGTTATTTGATGTCTATTTTTCAAACCTATTTTTACATTTGCTTGTCTGTCACTTTCTTATTTGTTCCTTTTTTAAGTTTAAAAACTTTTAAAATTGCCCTGGCCAATGTGCCTCAGTTGGTTTCGATATATGAGTCATCTCATATATGGAAAGGGATTTAGGCATTTGGAGTTTGTAATGGATTCACTCATTGTATTAATGACAATCAACTGTTCAAGCATAGTAAAGAAACTCTAACAGAAAAAGCAAAGGGATCTAGATTTTCTATTATCTGATTACTGCCTCACTATATAACCTTGAACAACTTCATTTATCTTGGCTTTGGATTCCCATTTGTAAAATGAAGGGACTTAACGAGGTGACAGTGGTTTCATCTTCCTATAATTATAGTCAAACGAGGATGTAAGAGGCACTTTATTTGGGGACTTAATAAAAGTTATTCTTACATGATAAGGTTGGTGCTTCCTACATAATTAAATGCTAGCTTAAATACTAACAAGCTAAATGTAGATACTACATTTAGCAATATAACTATAAAACAATGACACAAGTCTCATAAAGCAATGAGGTCTATTGGTGGTAAAAATATAGTTTTTACAGATATTCAGAGCTGGTTTAAAATCCTAATTCATCCTACATAAAACTGCCAAAATTATCTGAAATAAATCTTACGTCATGCCTCTGTCAATGGCAAAAGCATAAGATCTAAGCTTTAGCCTGACATCCAGTGCTTCACAATTTGGTTCCAGTTTTCCTTTCTCTTCTCATGTTATGCAGGAGCTTGTATTTTAGCACAGGATTTTCCAAATAATATTACCCAGAATACTACTGTGCTGGGAGATGCTAAGAGATACTCTATGAGAAAGAATTCTACAGTCAAATAAATTGTGCTCAGATGTCATCTCCTGTGTGAAGCCTTCCTGAAATCCTTCTATAGATATTACTTAATCTCTTTTTATTCCCAAAGTACTTCACTTATTTTTGACTTTGGGTAGTTTTTAAAGTGGATAACTGAATTCTAGTTTACCTCAAGTAAAGCATAGCTATACTTAAATTTTACATATTTAATCTTAACTTTCTTTCTAATAAGTTCATCATTGCACTAAAATCTAAACAGCATTTTTTCATTCTTTTAAAAAAATGTATTTTTCCGATAATAAATTAGATTCCAAAGTAATCTGCTACAGGGGCATCATCACATGGAAGACATATCGACTTTGAAATTAAAAAGATCTGGGTATAACATCTAGCTCTGCCGCTAACTAGATGAAAAGCATTGGGTAGCCCTGGCCAGTGTGGCTCAGTTGATTGAGCAAAGTCCACACACCAAAAGGTCGGTTTAAGCCCTAGCCGGTTTGGCTTGGTGGTTAGAGCACTGGCCTGCAGACTGAAGGGTCCCTGGTTTGATTCCAGCCAAGGGCACGTACTTCAGTTGCAGGCTCGATCCCTGCCTCACTGGGGCATGTGCAGGAGGCAACCAATCGATGTGTCTCTCTAACATCTGTTTCTCTCTCTCGCTCTCTCTCCCCCCCTCTTTGAAAAGCAATGGAAAAAATATCCTTGGGGAAAGGTTGGTTCGATTCCCAGCCAGGGCTATGGGGTATGCAGGTGGCAGCTGATCGATGTTTCTCTCTCGCATCAATGTTTCTCTCTCTTTCTCTCTCCCTCTCTCTCTAAAATCAATAAGAATATATTTTTTAAAAAAATTGGACAGATTACTTAACCTTTTTGACTCTTAGTTATCTCACCTACAAAATGAAGATGATAATTTCTATACAGGTTTGATTTTTTAAGATAATAGGTAAGTAAATCCATATAAACTATATGAAAGAATATACAATATTTAGCACGTAACAGATATTTAAAAATGTCAGCTTCTTTTCCAAGTGTGCTTACACAGTAGTTTCCTTACATCTCTAATTTGTAATGAAATGGCACAAATGGAACATAATAAAATTTAAACAAATCTGTTTAAGTTCCTGTCTAGAAACAATCTTGAGGAGACATCACTTTGGCAGGAAGATTTTAAGCAACAGTACTCTTTGAGACATTAGATGAAATGACATCTGAGATATTCAAGTATTGATTTGTTAATTAGCTGCTTAAAGAGGGTTCACTAACTTTTTATTTATTTTCTGAAAATATATTTTTTTGTTGATATCAGAGAGGAAAGGAGAGGGAGAGAGAGATAGAAACATCAATGATGAGTCATCAATCAGCTGCTTCCTGCACGCCCCCTGCTGGGGATCAAGCCAGAAACCCAGGCGTGTGCCCTGACCAGGAACTGAACCTCAATCTCTTGAATCATAGGCTGATGCTCAACTGCTGAGCCACGCCAGCCAGGCATAACTTTTTAAATATTTTACTTCATATATGCTTTTTTTTGTTTCCTTATTTAAGATACATGAGTGTTTCTATTGAGTGTGGTGGCTATTCAAAGTGTATACTTTCACTTTGCAAGACTATCAAATTATACAGATAGTATTTGGCTCTCTTTTGAAGATGTTTGGATCACCTTATATTTAATATGGTAAAGCAGAACTGTTATCAGTAATTCCTCCCTCTGGGAAGCTAATCTAATTAGTAAGACAATCATCCTGGTTGTGGCAGATATTTTTAAAGTATTTATTGACTCCTTCCTTCTAACAGTATATCACTACTTACCTCTCTAGGCCCAACTCAAATATCTCCTTTCAGAAGCTTTCTGTTATTATCACAGGCAAAAATGTGTGTATCACCTTACATTTTAATATGTACTTTTAGTATCAACCTGTACTGTGTTCACTGCCTTGTGTTTTTATTATATTAATTATTTTTATATTATTCTTGTGAACTAATAGTTATTTTTTTGAACATTTTACAGGTGAGGAAGTTGAAGAATAGTCATGGCAAGAAATTTGCCCATGGCAAACAAAGTGGCAAGAAGTCAAAGTGGTATAGAAATCAAGATTCCAAACTCTCAAGCCAGAGCTTCCTTAGATTGGACAACGTTGCTTTTCCCTCCTTTTCCATTATTTTTAAGATCTTAAATGTTGTTCTAAATCGTCACAAATTCCAAAACAATTTTCCACTTAAGAATTCCAAAATAACTTTTCTAAGTTTCTATACATAAGAACATCAGCAGTTAGAAGCCTGTGGGCTTAGCCTCCAAGCAGCCTCTCCTCCTCCTGCCATCCCAGCCAAGCCAGGCACCACCATGAGGGTTTTGTACGTTCTGTTGCTACCTGTCTGCCTACTCTTCTCCCAGATGGCCCCAGGCATTGGCCTTCTTACGGGACTATGCCACAGGTATTCAGAATACCAATGTTCCAAAAAGGGAAGGACCTGCCACTTTTCCCTGTGCCCATTCTACACCAGGATTGAAGGCATCAGTTACAAAGGGAAGGCCAAGTGCTGCCTCTGAGCTGGGAGATGTAGGAGAAAGACACAGAAGCCATGTGAACTATTTGTAAGCATTGTTTTAATAAAAGACCTTAAAAAAAAAAAAAGAACATCAACAGTTATACGAAAGAATGCAAGCAATACTCCAAACTTTGACAAATAGAAGAATCTCAGAAAAAGCAGTTTTCTTTTAAGAATGATATCCAGAAAATAAATATGGATAGATTTTTTTTAAAGCCATATATATAGATAGTTTCTCTTCTAATTACTTAGCAGATCAGCATAGGATATTCTAGATTAGATATTTGAGGCAAAGGCCTCTTTAAATAAAGCTTTACAACAGCAAGAAATACTATTGCATCACAATAGTGGGCCATTTTACCTACCTTGCTTTTTAAGACTAGAGTAAGTAATAATTTAGCTACATGGAATAGATGTACTTTGTAATCCTCTCGAGTCGTCTAAGACAGACTGTGCCCTTCTCTACATAAGCACCACTTTTACATATTTATTACAAGACATATATACTACAAATATTTTTGTTACATGCCTATTTTCCTGACCAGTGAGCATCTTGAGATCAGCAGCCATACCTTATTTGCCTTGCTATATTAATATTAGTTAATGTTTACTGAGTGTTTACTATGTGCTAAAGGTTTTTTATATTCATATCTCATTTAATCCTCAGACAACTTTAGGAGATTATTATACCAATTTTAGGTAGTATAATAAGCTCTTCAAGAGCAGGGACCTCTTTATTTCATTTGCTAATATATCTCTTGTGCCTAGTACAAGGCCTGGCACTTAAAAAGCTCAAAGAAGTTAAGTAACTTGTCCAGGGTATATAGCTAGTAAGTGGAGAGACTTGATTAGAATCCAGGTCTGTCTGACTTTAGATCTTAAAGTCTTATTACTCTAATGTCTTTTTAATTACAACTTCCAGCTCAGAATTTGGTACTGAGAAGGTACACAGTGGACACCTGTTGAATTAATGAATATGTTCTACCTTCAGGTTGCTTATCCACTTCACCCTAGCATTCTCCTACTTCTTCACTTCTCTATTCTGATTCTTAATCTCTAAGCCTAGGATATAAGGCATAGCTATAAGCTTTAATTCTACCTCCCATCCTATCAGCAAACATTACCCTTCTACACAGAGAAGAAAATATTTATTACCGGAAAAACACATAGAAATTACAGCATGGGATATTATATGAATAGTTTGTTACTTTTCTTATATAAACAATGTCAAATAGGTCTAAAATGGAAAATTGATGGTCATAAACTTACAAAAATAAACCTCATTTTCCAAATTTTGTTTTTTTGTGGATTTTTCTCTTCTAAAGGCAAACAAAAACTATTTTTCATATAAACTTCATTTTTTACACTGTCAATAAATCTTTCTAAATAATGACATCGCTTCAAGCTATAATAAACAGGGAAGTGAGCTGAAGGTTGTCCTCTCCTGTAACATCCACTTTAGTATGTCTACTTTCAGCTGGTCTGTAGAAAAGCAAGGCACAATAATGTGGTTTTGGAATTTATTTTAAAAAACAGATTTCAGCCCTGGACAGGTAGCATAGTTGGTTCAAGTGTCGTTGTGATACGCCCAGGTTGCAGGTTTGATCTCTGGTCAGGCTACATATAAGAATCAACCAAGGAATGCATAAATAACTGAAAAAACAAACAATGTTTCTTTCTCTCTCTCCCCTTTCCTCTCTCTTAAAAATAAATAAATAATAAATAATAAATAAATATATAAAGTCTGACATCTCTGTTTAAAATAAATAAAAAGTAAAATAACAGATTTCAGGTAGATGATTATTGTCTGGCTTCAGTTAAAAAAAGTTATAGGAATATTTACTTATTATTTAGGCACAAAATAATCTAAAACTACAAGGTCCCTGGCACTCCTGAAATGTGTACTTATTTATTTCTTTATTTTCATTTACTAGTTTGTTAAAACAGTGGTGACAGGAGACAAACAAATCTAGGTTATAATCCTGGCTTTGCCTCTTAAAAACTGTGTAACCCTGGGGCATATTACTTAATATTTCTGAGCTCATTTTCCTTATAACTCAGACAATAATCCCTAATTTGCGGGGCTGCTGGGGAGACTAGTCTGTGTAACAATGAGCATAGTGCCAGGCACATGGTAGCACTCAATAAACAATAGCTCTCTTTTGTTAGGGTCTGCTACTTTATTTCATTCTGGTTTCATTATGGGATGCACTTAAATCATTATTTCCTACAGCAAAGTTTCCTGTGTTTGCTTCCCTCAATTTAAGTAACACTCTACTTCAAAAATTTTATTAAAATATATATTAGGGGGAAAATATTCAAGGACTTTTCTATCTTTTCTAGAAAATGTTATAAAAAGACTTTATATATGTATGTGCATAAGGCTTCCTGTTTTTTTTCTACTTATAAGAGCAATGCTGCACTTGCATTACTGACTACCAACAGCCAGGTGTCCTGGGCATTGAATGTTCCAGGTAGAGTCCTGTTACCTACAGCTGGCTCCTGTAGGCACTTGAGTTCGCAACCTCTGTTTTCAACACTGAATTTTCTTAAGACATCTACCATTTCATTTTCAAAAGTTGTATCTACATATTATTTACCAGAAAAGGAAAACACAAGGCAGGCAAGTATTGTTAACCATTCAAATGTGTAATAATTTTTAAGAATTACCTGATGGAATACAGGCTCCTTTACCTTAAGGTAAACCTGCAAAATATTAAAACACATGTGAATGAAGTGCAGTAAGGAGGGAAAAAGAAAACCTATTCCAACAATTCTGCAAATCCCAACCTCTCCTGCTTCCCTAATTCTGCTACATAGATCTGACTCCAGTCATATAAAACCAATCAGATTCGGTGGCAACACCACAGGAGAGCTAGTACCTACAGCTGGGCCTTCCCCAGTGCTAGCTTTACCATGGTAAACTACATGTTTCAAAGTTGTTGTGGATGGCTCTGGCCTCTTGGCTTTGCATCAGCATCAAAGAGAGGCAAAGATACAGGGACACTCATGATGGCTAAAGAGGTTATTCCTGACAACCCTGTAGCAGATCTGTTCTGTAGTAGAAAGAACACTGGCCTTAGAGTTAGAGACACAAGATAAATTTCAGACTCTGCCATTTACTTGCTACATGGTTTGAGCAAGTATTAGTGGCATCGCAACCAAAAGACCAATTTTTCCTTATTAGGATAAAGGGAATAATAGTGGTTAGAAATAAGAAACTAAAATATGTAAAAGTAGCCCAGCCAGTGTGGCTCAGTTGGTTGGGCCTCAGACCATGCACCGAAGGGTTGCCTGCAGGTTTGATCCCTGGTCAGAGTACATGCCTGGGTTGCGGGCTTGATCCCTTCTAGAGGGTATGAGGGAGGCAGCGGGTCAATGTCTCACTCTCACATCGATATTTCTCTCTCTTCCTCTTTCTCTAAATATCAATAAAAAATCTTTAAAAAAACACATAATAGTGTCTAGCATAACAGGTGCTCAGTAAGTGAAAATATTTAAAACAAATCTCTTGTGCCTCTGCTTCCCCAAACCTCTAACTCACTCACCTAGATGTGTTCCCAGTTAACACAAACCCTAGTTTTAGGCTCTAATGTCATGTGGGTGGTTAAGTTCAATGGCTACTCAAGATATAGCATGCATTTATTGCATTATAGGAGTACATCTTTAAAATGACATGGTAGAGAGAATCAAAATTCAAGTCAGAATCTTGAAATGACTCCCATCACTTACATGATAAAGTCCAAATTTCAAAGCCTTCCATGATCTCATTCCTGCTTTTCTGTTTGGCTTCACTGCTCTCCTCTTGTCTTTTTCATTCTAGGGTCTAGAAAGTATGGTGCTTCCCCAAATGTGCTAATTTCATGCCTCTCTATCTTTAAACATGCTGCTCTTCACTTTGTTCAGAAATCCTCTCCTGCTGGCAAACACTCATCTTTCATGATTCAGTTCAAACTATACCTCTTTCTTGAAGCCTTTTCTGATCCTTTCTCTGTTCAGCAAAAGCAACCACTCACCTTCCTCTGTACCCTCACCATCCATGTACACATAGTTCTATGCCTAAGGACAATGTAGTTGTCTATTTAGAAATGCTTCACCACACTCTTGTCCAAGGGCCTGGTGAACCTCTAATCATCAGTTAAAACCCAGCTTAAAATGCCTTCTCTGAGGAGCTTTCCTTGACCCACGTCTAGCAATCCTCATTGATACTCCTTCATTTCATCATTGTATAACTAGTTTTTACCTCCATTATTGCAATTATCATCTTTTGAAGAATTCTCTGTTTACATGTTTGACTTCCCTATTAGAATGTACTCCTCAAGCAAAACAACTGCTTCTCAATCATCTTTATATTTTCTACTGCCTGATATGGAAGGTTTGCAATAAAAGTTTGTGAAATGGGTATCTCTTTATACAAAATGCAGTTCACTTGAGGTAAAAAAGCACTTGGGTAGGCTAAGAAGTAACCAGCTATCTCAGCTTAGTAGGAAAAGGTTAAAAAATAGTCATATGAGACTCAATAGAGCAGAGTGAATCTCTTTTTAACAAACAGAAGGCAATATATCCATCCATGAGAAAAAGTTCATTTTTCCCCCATTTCTACTAAATATGAGCATTTTGGTTTTTCCCTAGTTTTTTTTTTAAACCAGAGTTTTAAAAAGTTGTTTCAACGTTTTGTTGAGAAATAACACTTAAAAGAGAAACAAAGAAGCAGTATCTGTGAGTTTTCAGGCTGGCTCAGCCGTTGAGCATCAACCTAGGATCCAGGAGATCGAGGTTCAATTCTTGGTCCGGGCACATGCCCAGGTTGCGGGCTCGATACCCAGCCAGTTAGGGGTGTTCAGGAGGCAGTGAGGGTGATCAGTGACTCTCTCTCATCATTGATATTTCTATCTCTCTCTCTCCCTCTCCCTTTCTCTCTCTGAAATCAATAAAGATATATTTAAAAAAACAAAAAACATTTCAGTTTCAACAGCATGAAGCAAACACTGGAAGCAAAATGTGCCAAACTCCATAAATGGCTAGTTCACATGCTTAATCTGTTAGAAACAAAATGTGACTTACTGTGGTTACTATTAAACTGAATAGAACTAAGGTAAAAAGCAGATGGTAATTTACTGAGTTCTTGATCTTGAAACATTCAAACCTAAGAAGAGAGAGAAAAAGAAAATTCCTTTAGAATATATAACTAGAAAAACAAATAGAATGCTGTTTGACCACTTACACACAATCCTCTGGATTTAGTGATGCCCATCATTTTTCTTCCCATCCATACTCTCATCTTACAGAACTTGTACTGTCTACAGCCTCCAACAGGCTGAGCGGAACAAGAGTAGGCACCTTACTTAAAATGGGCCAATGAGAGGCTCTCCCCTGGAAATTTGGTGTTTGGAAACTGGAGACTGAATCAATTAAGTGTGGAGAATCAAAGTATAAAGCCATATGGATTCCAGGTGTGATTCTGATAACAGGGTAGCCAAATTGAATGAACAAGTAGATGAATGAGCAGAGAAGTGGTCTGCAGAGAGGGGAAAATAAAGCAGACACACAGTCTTGAAACCATGTTGAGAGGAAGGAATGGAGAAAAGAGGGAGGGAGAGAGAGAGAAGCTGTCCTTTCAGTCGAATGAGGCTCTACCTCCTGATGTTGGGTTCCACATAATTTCAAGTCCTTACAATAAATAAATCTCTTAAATCAAGCTAGCTTGAGTAGGTTCCTACAGCTTTCAACTAATGATCCTGGACTAAGATACACTTATAGAAAATATCACTCTAGACGCGGAGCTGGGTGGGGTAGCGAGTGGGGGGCGGTAGTCGGGGTGGTGGGAAAAAGAGGAGGCGGCAGCGAATCCCTATAAATGGTGCCGAAGCAGGACCCGAAGCCTAAATTCCAAGAGGGTGAGCGAGTGCTGTGCTTCCATGGGCCTCTTCTTTATGAAGCAAAGTGTGTAAAGGTTGCCATAAAGGACAAACAAGTGAAATACTTTATACATTACAGTGGTTGGAATAAAAATTGGGATGAATGGGTTCCAGAGAGCAGAGTGCTCAAATACGTGGACACCAATCTGCAGAAACAGCGAGAACTTCAAAAAGCCAACCAAGAGCAGTATGCAGAGGGCAAGATGAGAGGGGCTGCCCCAGGAAAGAAGACATCTGGTCTGCAGCAGAAAAATGCTGAAGTGAAAACGAAAAGAACAAACAGAAAACGCCTGGAAATGGAGATGGTGGCAGCACCAGTGAGACACCTCAGCCTCCTCGCAAGAAAAGAGCTCGAGTGGATCCTACTGTTGAAAACGAGGAAACATTCATGAACAGAGTTGAAGTTAAAATAAAGATTCCTGAAGAACTAAAACCATGGCTGGTTGATGACTGGGACTTAATTACCCACCAGAAACAGCTCTTTTATCTTCCTGCCAAGAAGAATTTGGATTCCATTCTGGAGGATTATGCAAATTATAAGAAATCACGAGGAAACACGGATAATAAGGAGCATGCTGTTAATGAAGTCGTGGCGGGGATAAAGGAATACTTCAATGTAATGTTGGGCACTCAGCTGCTCTACAAATTTGAGAGACCGCAGTATGCTGAAATACTCGCAGACCACCCTGACGCACCCATGTCCCATGTGTATGGAGCGCCACATCTACTGAGATTATTCGTTCGAATTGGAGTGATGCTGGCCTATACACCTCTGGATGAGAAGAGCCTTGCTTTGTTACTGAATTACCTTCATGATTTCCTGAAATACCTGGCAAAGAATTCTGGGACCTTGTTTAGCACCAGCGACTATGAAGT